ACAAGCAGTTATAGTGTAACATTTGTGTTGAAAGACTCAGCACTTTCATTCTCAGTTGCCGCCAAAACAATGAACCCAAAAGGCTTGATAGCAAAATAATAAGAGGCAATCTTGAGAGAACACCCCCGGGGGGGGTACTGCCATATATGGGCTATATAGGTATGTGCCGCTGTGAAGGGTATGGTTTTCAAGCAGTTTACTCTAGGATAGGGTATATAAATCAGAGCGTTTGGGTCTAGAATAGGGTATCATTTTTCAAGAAACTGATCAGTTGTTTGAAGATTTTATCTAGACTGGGGAAACAGCTACTCTAGGATAGGGGGATTTGGGGAGTTTACTCTAGTATAGGGTAGCAAAACTCAGCTGAACTAGCTCTGGTATAGGTTAAGGGTTCCAGGGTCCCAGCGGCACATCCCCACCCAGAAATTCCTAAAGTGCCCCCCCTGGGAGAACACCTCACTAAAAACACTTAAATGTGTCTCATTAAGTAAAACGGATCGAAAATCCTGTACGAAAAGCAATTTCTGCACTGAAAACAAGAAAACCAACTCACCGTTTTACGAGGCGGCCAAACTTCTAGTTTTCACCGTCGCGACTTCAGGTCGACGCTGTGGCATTATGCTAATTAGTTCCAAGAATTGAACATTTCACTTCCGGTTGACGTCCTCCTCGGCCGCGTCCAGAGTATCTTAAGGTCCCTACTAACTGGTCTGGAGGCGGGGAGAGGGCGGGACCGAGAAACCATGGAAATTAGCTTGCGACAGCAGTGGAATTCTGGGAGAAGCAAAATGGCGGATAGAATGTTGTACGTCGCGTTTTCGTTTAAAGATCTCCTTTTAAATGGAAATTTCTGACATAATAATGGAAACGTTTACACTTGGTACTGCCATCGGTTTAAACATGACGCATAATGCTTCCTTTTGTGCTGAGAGCGTAAACGCTGCCGCGTGGAACAGACCGAGAGAGGTTGGTTGAAGCCCCGTGCACTCATGAAATCAACCCGACTGGAAAGTTTCCAGAGAGACCATGGATAAGAGAGTACGGTTCACTAGCGAAGCAAGTATTTGGAAGTGTTTTGTTTGACTGAGACAGGAAAGGAGCAATATATATACGGCGAGAACTACAAACTTTTTGTTTTGAATTCAATTGGAAAAACATCCTCTTAGCCAAGCGTGTGGGGACAAACATTGGCAGAGCAACTGCCAAGACATACAATGGGGATCGTCATTTCCATAATGTGCATATCGATAAGTGATTTTAGATGTTTTTAAATTAATTACTTAAATGTTTGTTGTCAAATTATGAAAAAAAGACACTTCCAATATAAAGTTTTTGCTACAAACCAGCTCACAGTATGTTACAGAGATGTATTGAAATACTCTACTTTTATGGTTTTATTTTTTGGAAAAAGAAATGCAGGAACCATTGATTTTTTTGTCCCTTATATTATGAAATAATGCATTTAAAGACCAAGAGAAAATTTATGCTTTTGGTTGCTTCTAACTCAGATTTTGTCTCTGCTAATGTAATACTTAACCAACACCCTTGATATTAGCCTGTGCCACAGATGGAACTAAACTCTGGGTTAAGTCCATCTGCAAAACAGTGGCAAAATCCTAGTTCTGGGCCCCCTGTGTGTGTTTCAGGATTAAAGAACATGCCAGGACTGGACTGTTAAAAATGCCATTGTCCATTTGCCAATCATGTTGAAGGGGAACTCAAAATGCTGGTAATTCATTTAGTGCATCAGGGCCCAGAACAAGGATATTAGAGCTGCTTCACAAATGTTACTAACCATGGTTAGAATACACCTGCAACACAAGCTACCTTGATATTTAATGTTCAAAATATTAGGTAAAATGAAAATTTGGAAGACTAATGTAGATGTCTTCAAGACTGAATTAACTTATGCTACAACATTATGTCCCTAGAGAGGTAGTGTTATCAGATTTTGATTTTGTACATGTTGTAGTTCATTTTTATTTCAGTTAATTTTTATTTTTCCATCATTTCTGGGTATGGTTATGTATGCTAATGAATTTAAAACAAAGGGAAACCAAAAATTAACTGAAATTAAAAATTAACTGCAACATATTGACACTAACATGTAACTCACCTAAATGTCACCTTTTTCTCCTTAAGTCGCGCAACATTTTGACCAAATTTTCCTAAAGTCGCCTTAAATCACCTAAAGTCACCTTAAATCGCCTTAAGTCGCGCAACATTTTGACCAAATTTTCCTAAAGTCGCCTTAAATCGCCTTAAGTCGCCTAAAATTGCGGCGACTTAAGGTCCCAGAGTAGGCCTTTTCTCGAATTTTGTTGTTTCCACTACAAGCGAAATGATGCATAAAGATCTTAAAGCTTTGCTTCATTGATTAGCAGATGGGGGCCACCTAAGTGAAAACGATTGCGGAGCAGGTGTTGCCTTTCCTGGCTCTCTTCCGCCTTAGTTTCTCAGGATATATTAATGAAACTATTGACATTTGAATTCCAAGAAAAACGTACCAAAAATAGAGTCATAGTTGTTTCCACCTTACATTAATTTGAACCAAAGTGAATTTAACAAATTCATATCAATGGAAGAAGGTATTTTTTTCAAGGAACCCAGTTGATATTTATAGAAGTTTTATACAAGGGATTCTTAAATTCAACATGTCGTTTTTTCTTTTCAACTTTAATAACATGCAAAGTAAAGGAACTTCAAAGTTTACTTATTGCTTTTAAAACATTAATTATTTATTTCCTTTTTTTGGTTAAGTAAAACTCGGCAGCTCTTTAAAAGTCTTTAATTCCCCCCAAACCTTTTTTTATTCTGAATTTAGCTGTGCGCTTAGTCAAAACCGCCTCAATTGGTATAATTATTAGATGATTTTAATTGCAAACTGTTCGATCAGAAACAGGACAATATAACTCTCGTCTGTGACTTACAAAACTTTTCATATGGAGGTTTTACTGAGAATTAATTAACTCTATTCAAAACTGAAAGTTTACAACTCATGATTTACTTACTTCTGTGCCGGGACGTACGTTCCAGCTGGTTGGCTTGAAACAAGTTAACTTCAGTTGGTCAGTCTGCGCGTACTCTGGATTCGGGTTAGCAACCTAACACTTGTTTTCTCTTTGACACTGATTCGCTCCTGCCTTAAAGTCAAGTCTGGACCGAATGCTTAAAATTGCGTGGAACCGGTGATGCCAATCAATGGTCTTCCCCCTTTAACTTGATTATTATCTATTCAAAATATTTCTTCATTTGTGATTGGCCTAAATCCAGGAGCTTATTGTTCTAAACTGGAAGCTAGTGTTGACCAAATTTGGAAGAAGTTTTCCGAGTAATAGCGAATAGCCAAATGCAAAGCGCAGCGATTCTCAAACTGAATTGCGTATATTCAGACACCCCGGGAGACTCAGACAATAACTAGAAAAAGCACTATAAAAGCACTGGTACACAGAAGACAGTTTTCCTTATAACAAAAGCCCTTTCCTTTCAACAAACTATGGAAAGAGAGCGCAAAGCATTGTTGGTACATATTTACTCTAGATATCCATTATATATGAAAACATTTGTATAGGTAATAGCATGATTTATAGTGATATTTGGCATAAATACCACGAGTGATATTTCAAAATTGTTATACTTAATTTCACGAGCCTTTAGGCGAGTAAAATTTGAGACAATTTTGAAATATCACAAGTGGTGTTTATGCCAAATATCACGTACAAATCATGCTATTATTTGTTTATACCACTACTCGCAAAAAGTTTGTAATTTTCACAGGTGGGTATTTTAAATTAAGCTGAAATACCACTGCTCTAAGCCAATCAACTTGCAGAAATTTCTCATGTAGTAGTATAAAGCCTTTTATAACCTTTAAAACAAGTTTCCTCGCACGGTTTTTCGATGCCACCGCAAAGAATGGATCGCCGACGACACGTTAAGAGTAGATTAATGCTTGTTGCAGTGAGAATTTCACGGTCAAAATGCTGGAAACGTAAACATTAGTGTTCTTCACTGACCAGGGAAAAAGCCCTTCTGAGGAATTTCTCTCCCACTTACGAAACCAACTTGACCTCAGGCGATCGCGTTTAAGTGCAGACTGATTCTTCTCACGGACGGTCCAGGTAGCTCGCGAAAAGTCAAGAAGAACAGGTAAGTAAAACTTGCTGTGTTGTTTTCGTGATTTGCTTGCTTGCTTGTTTATTTTAATTTGCTACAGAAAGGGAGGCAAATATGATTGTGGAATATTATTTTCTGTGCTACTCGACTTCTCCCCTTCGGCTGTTAGAAGCTGAATTATGTAAAAGACCAATCAAGAAAGTCTGCGGAATAGTCTCCTGAATTCCAGATGCCATGCCCTCGTCGTATACGCCGTTATGTAAATTAAATCGACTCTTTCCTCGAAGAATAAGATACGAAACCGATCTTTCCTGATTCGAACCGTGATCTGCAATTTTGATCATCTTTCGACGGAGAGTAGAGTAGTGGAGTACTATTAAACAAAATTCTCGAGCCATTATCCTTTTTCTGTGATCGCAATGTGTTGTTAGGTTTTTAAAGGAATACTGGAGCGCACACTCTAAATCTTCACCGATAGCGTAGCCCCGCCTTTCGATATTTAAACTACTAACAACTATGGCGGAAAAGCGTTTAGCTGGTCTATGAATCTTCCTGAATACCATGAACGTTATACTGGACTGACCTCATCTCATGCCTAACTGCGTGTACTGAACCGTTTCTAGCAAATTGTTGCATATGAAATGGCGCTAAAAATATTTCTATTTCGTTTGATTCATTAAAAATTTAGGTTTTATCCACTCTTAAATATACGAGTGAACCACATTAGTCAGAATAAAGATAAATGATAACTTTAAATTTTTTCCCTTTCTTTGTTTGTGGGAGTGTTTGTCTCTGTATTGTTTTAAACTTCTTAATATATGGCCTAATTGAAATTTAATTCTTCTATTGAAGACTCTTTTAGCTATTGCTACCAGAATTGACAGTTAAAACTGCAGCTTCTCACGTGCACCAGATCCGTTTCGCATGTGCAGTAATTTCTTCAACACTTCGTCAGTGCGAGGCAGCGCTTGCTCCAGAGCGGAGAACTGGGCACGACACACTTTACGCCTTTCCAGGATATCCTGCTTTTCTTCTAAGAACTGGACCAAGTCTTCTTGTTCCAACGCGTGCTCAAGGTCATCCACGAGTTGTGTGATGAAAAAATGAAGAATGCAGCGGGGAACTGTATCGCAGACGTTCATTTTGATCACGTTGAAGCAGCGTACAACATTCCTTTTGACCCTCTTTACATCTTCGAGCTCCTGAGGAACAGAAATACACCTGTTATCTGCTGTTTTCATCTTAGCTCAACTGACTTTTCAAGGGCCAGGCATACTTCCTGTAACGTTTCTAGCTCATTTCCTTAAATTAAAATTGAAGAAAAACTCCGTCTTTTGTTCCGTAAAATGTTAAAAAATAAACAGAACTACAACTCCTTGAGACTTGAGTTTTGAGTTGAACTGTCACGCGATAGGATTTCATCGAATGACTTGAAAGTTAGATCCAGTTAATAAAGCGTAATAAATAGTACTATATGTGGGAGCACTGCTTCTAAAAAGCTTTACTGATTTGCATGGTCAAACTACAAGTTCTTATACACAGATTCAAACATTAGAAACAGTTAACAGTCTATGAAAAAGAACAAAAGACACGAAGAAGGTACTTCAAAAGAGGTTTAATTTGAATTGAATGGTCAGACAAGGGTTGTCTGCACAAGCTCATGAAGATGGAAAAGGCGGCTCAGATTACTCGTCTCATTTGAACGCAGGTATGTTTTTGAACTACTGAGAGCTCACCTTATAATTTCCACGTGAATTTCGGGCTTCAACCTCCTCCATCAGTTCGCTTGGATAAAGCTTTCTCGCAAGATACTTCATGTGGGACATCGTCTTTGACATCATGCAAGGGTGGGTTTTGCCATTGAGGGCGAGAATAGTTTCCCAGTAACTTAGGTCATCAGGGAACGGAATTGCAGCGAACACCACATCAATACTCTTCTTCTGCATCTCGAGAAACTGCTGAATGAACTGAATGGTCTGCTCTCGTTTTGTGTCAAAAATCTTGCTCACTACCTTGGCCTCGACCACTTGCTTGAGAGTTGGGAAATTAGACAAACTTTTATTGATTGCATCTTGCACTATTGTGCTTAGAGTTTTCTCCACATTGTTGACCAGACGGGTCGATATGGGAATCAGTTGATCTACTGGACTTTGGACTAGTTCATCAATAGTCTTGGACGTTGTTCCTGTGAACACAAGAAGATAAGTAACATTTAGAACTGAATGAGGTCTATAAAAGTAGTTCAATCAGAGGGAATGAATAGCGCTTTTTAAAGTCAGTTCTTAAGGCCTAGTTCATACAAAGGCAGAGTTGTTACCTTTAACTTTCATAAATTTTAATATTTTATCAACATACTGTTAATTCACTTATTGTTAAGAAAATTTACTTAGAAAGTTATAAGCGTTTGGAAACTAAAAGTGATGCTACGAGGTTACTGTTGGCGTCATTTGCTAACAAAAGGGACCTTACGAAACTACGACGGTAACGGCAACGGGAACGCCAAAAAAGCAATAGATTTAATGAACAAAACAACAACTCTGCACGTGCATCACGCTTTTTTGTAAATTTCTTTGCAGTCCCTGCAAAACTACGGCGTGAAATGACCAAATTTTAAGGCCCTGTCCACAGGTATCCTTTTTGAGTTGAAAACGCAAGTTTTTCTTTACGGATACGGCTTCCGTCTTCACGTATCTGATTAAATCAATGAAAACGGAACTTTTTGAAAACGCTGTTTTCACGTGTACATGTGAACGGACGAAAACGTAGGTTTTCACGATTACGATGATGTAATACATCATTTACTACTACTATAACGCATGCTCTGTGAGGGATGCTCTCGTATTTCCATTGTTTAGCGTTTTCGTATGGACAGGCGAAAACGATTCGAATACGCTTCGTATGGACACGCCTTTTTTTGAAAACGGAGGGAAAATATCTTCGTTTTCAAACAAAAACGGATACGTGTGGACGTGGCCTAAGTTTACTTGGGAACGGGAATGGCAAGGCGATAAATTCTACCACCTCTGTCAGAACGCGGGCGCAGTCCCTTCTCTTTAGCTCCAACCCAAATTCCCTCCAGTCTTTTAAGCAACTGGGCCCCTTGGAAAATCGCGAAAGAAAGTGAAATAATGGGAAGTCTATTTTTTCAGCGACATTTTCGATTGGACGTCGCTGTTGTCGGATCGTAAGGTCCCTAAAATTTCACTTGGGCGCTTAGAGTTTTTAAAGAAAATTAGCTCATTATCTTGAGACAAAAGGTAAAACAAACAAACAAAAAAAGCCTCAAGCGTTTGACCGCAACACTGAGATAAAATGACTTTTAGTGTCCGTCCCCATACCCCAAGACTGTTACTTTGCGCCCACTTTACTTGAACGACGAGGACGGTTTGTACGGTTCCGAAAACTAAGACTAAATACTACAAATACCTAGTGAAGAGAAAAGCGAACTAGAACTTACGTTTGTGTCCTCTGATAACGGCTACAAAACACGATAAACCGTATAAAACTATGCTCCGAAAACGATTTTACCGTAAGACATTTCTTTCGATTGAGCACATGATTTCCTTTTGCTCCCACAACGCATTATGGGGTGGAATACCAAACCGTGCGTGACGCCACGCGTGTGTTCTTCTTGTCGCAACGTAACGGCAGTAACACAGGGGTATCGATCTTTAAGACTTCGAAGAGTCTTTTTGAAGTTTACGCTAATACCTGGGAATCCTGTGCTACTCGCAACTGGCACAGTACTCCTTCCTTGGTATGACTCATAAAGTAGTTTTTGCAGCAGCAGGCTGTTTTCACTACTGTCTCCAAGAGGAGCTGCCACGCCCTCGAGTTTCCTTTGCTGTTTTCGTATCTCATCATCGCTTCGCTTGACCAGGGGGTCTACCTAGATTTGGAAAAAGGTTTCTTTCAAAAATCAAACAGACATAATTCTCCTTCGAAATCTTAGGGCTACAAGTTAAACGAATCTCTTGACACCGTCCATTTTCCTGCTACCACTGGCAACAAAATTAGTTGAGACATATCAATACCATGTTTTTACTCTTTCTAATCAAAATGGTCCAAAACAACTGACAGGGGTACCCCTTCCCCCTCCCCCTTGTCAGTTTTGTACTGTTGGTTATGAGATTTGTGGGCAGCACCAGGCGACCCAATATTGACAAGGTGGGAGGAAAAAGGGCTGTCGTAATTAGGGTACCTCAAAACACCTCTTTGTATGACAGTGCCTCAACAGTTTTGTCGCGGATAGTTCTTTGTAGTGCGTGGCAGGTCTCATATGTATTGTAAGTAATCAATAATGAAAGATTTAATTGGCACTATCTTTTCGCCCACCTTGAAAACAGCGTCGTGGAATTTGTTAAACAATGTTCGCACTTGCTCTCCTCCTCCAATGTCGGACGTGTTGTTAAAAAGTAGCGTCTTCAGCTGGCCAATGAGGGTTTGTTTAACTTTCATTACAAGTGCTCCTTTGCCTTCACTCGACTCAGGTACTTCGCTATGAGCTAGACTTTTGAGTTCTGATTCCACCTTGAAACAGCAATAAGATGTTTTATTAACGGGTGTAAGTGAATCGGGGCTTAAAAAGGAAAATAAAGCACAAATAAAATGACCCTGCGAACAAAGTTCAAAGGTTCTATACAAGCGATATTTGGGGTTGAACGGGTGACGTAAATTACTTTTGGGGTACTATACTCAGATACTCAGATTGTTCTGATTGTTAGATAAAGTTAAAAGGGAAGAAGTCATTTTTCTCATCTCCTACCTTTGCCTTTCTTTCCCTCATTTCGCGCACTAAGACTGGAATTTCGGTGATCATTTTTTGGGCCAGAAGTGAGATCATGGTATCCATGAGCTTGTCAATTCCACACAGTTGAAGAATGCTTTTGTATTGAGGATGACGCGCGAACCACTCCTTTTCCTTGACACGGGTCATCTCTGCGTCCCAGTCCTTTTCGTTCTCGTCTGTTCCATCTTTTCCTGTTTGTTGACAGAATGAGTGGAGAAAAGTTTTAGGGCCCTCCTTTAGTTTTGATAAAATTAAAACTCTTAAAAACAACTATTTTTCCAGAAAAAATAGTTAATCTAACAGTTCGAAAATTAAATTGATTGAATCAAGAATAACACGTTCGCCTCTCGTCCAACCCAAGGAGACCAGGTTCCCACCGACAGCCCTTTCACTTTGGACTGTTTACAACCATAAAAGTCTTTGTAACCGTTATGGCCTGAGTATTAGATTCTAAGCCAGAGCGAGCTACTCCCATACTGGATCTATGTCACGGCGTTTTTTATGGACCAGTTTGTTGCTACGTACATTTAAAAGAACTTTTTCTTGCAAAAATGGAAGTTTTGCTTCGCCTAAGTGCGCATTCAAATGATAACATACCAAAAAATTCATTAATACCTTTTTTAGGTTTGTATAGTTTAATTCTGACTGGTTTAAGTGACTTGAAAGATATTCTAAATTCGCGCCAAAATATTTCTAAAAATAAACTGATTGGTGAAAACGGCATGACACGAGTAGATGAAAGCTGCTCGCTGCAGGTCATGGGCTCCTGGTGATATCCAAAGAAATTTAAAGTAACAACTCTTATTGTACCTCTTAACACAATGAAGCGTCCATCCTCTAGGGTAAAACTTGACTTGTTTAATGCTACTTTTACGCCCATGTCGTCTGTTTCTCTCAGCCTGTCTGGTTTAGTCAGTACACATATGGTCCGCTGCCTGAAATCTTTAGCCTTTCGCATGACCAGGTTAATAGCACTGTCTCCTGTGGGGTCCCCTACTTCCGAAACTATGACGATAATGCTTTTGGTGTTCTTCTCAATGTAGTCTAAAACTAGAGATTGGGTTGCCTGGTTCATCCGAGGATCGTCGTTGGCGAAGTGAGCGCCGGGAAGATCGACTAAAGTCAAAGTGGTGAGTTTGGGACCTGAGGCAGACAGATTGAAAGGGTTAGCGGGGTGGTACCTCACGGTACCAGAATAGTACTAGAGACTTTTTTCCGACCCCTGACGAAGGTTAATTTTGTCTAACTGAAACATTAAGCAAGAAAAAAAAATTCTCTGTTTGAACAGCTTGTATTTTGTCTAGTACCAGAGACAATGCTCAGAAAATCTCTGACCGAGTAAAGTGTTCTAACAAAACGAGGACAAGGCACCTTAAAGATCAAACGTGTAGTTCTAATGACTGAATTAAAGGTAACCTTCTTTCCATCATCAAACATTATCATACCTTGAAGGGTCACATTAACTGGGGTCTTGGATATAGGAGTTCCTTCTTCTTTGGGAAGATGACCAGCAACTTGTTTAAGGAAATCCTCTACTTGATCATCCGTGGGGTTTTCGACCTCTCCTCCAATACCCTCGCACGTATCACATCTTACTTCCACGATTGTCTTGGGACCGTTGCGGAGATTCAGTATGATTGGGTATGTAGTCCGCGCTTGAAGAGTGTTGGCTGTTTCGTTTCGTCGCATGGGCAGAAGATATCGCCCGATCAGACGGTTGATAAGCGTTGTCTTTGCCATGTTTTGTCGACCGACCATGACTAAATGAGGAATATCAAATGATTTTCGAAGGGTGTCGTTGCTTATCATGGATTGTATAAAATCCAATACACCACCGAACTCACTGCTTCTGCCATATTTGGACACTGGTGACTCAATCTCGCTTGACATATTGAAATTAAAGCGCTGTGGAGAATAAAATAACACAGTTCGCAGGTAAATAGGCGATCTGTTCACGAAGTTTTGATGCATGAGAATGACCAGCTTATCCCGTTTTGTCTATTGCACATTTCCAGGGTTGAGAGGGACAGGGGGTGGAAGCACAGCAAAAATATAGGGAGGGAGGAGTAGGGGAGGCGGAAGAGAAAAGAGCAGAAGAAGGGAGTTCTAAAGGGCGGGAAGCGGAGAAATAGGTGGAAATTACACAACGATGCTTTATGTTTCGTAAGGAGAAAGGACTAAGGAGAGGAAGCTAAGAAAAAGGGGCGGGAGTTGGGAATTCAAGGTTCCGGGGGCTGGGAGATTTGGAACACCCTCTGTCCTCCTGCCCTATTCGATCTCATCGAGGCCTCATAAGTGTATTTTACTACGTAAGAAAAGCTACAACCACCCAGAGTTTTCTACACGGTCTATTTATTGTCTATTTAACAATTTAACGGAACTATCCATTATCAAATCTGTAATTATATTTGAAATTTCACTTTCTAATTGACAATGGACAATGCAGTCATAAATCAACACGACCCAGTTTCGTGTCCATTTGAACCCACGATTGCTTTTGCTTTCTCGTAGACCATTCTGAACTGTCAGTTTGGATTTAATAACAGAACTAGGTCTCTGAGAAAATGTTCAAAACTTTGGTCCCCCTGCATGGACAAGGCTAATCGGCTTTCGTAACTGGGCCCAGACAGGCCGCAATCATAACCTGAGCGCATCATAATTGATTTTATCTAAATTTGTTGGTATCGGTGTAGCACCACAGATACCACTGATAAACTATCATAACTTGATAACGTAAATGGCTGGCTTAATATTTGCTCATGGTAATATCATCAAGGCGGAAATGACGTAATGTAGGAGGGTGTTACCCTACTAAATCTATTAATAACCAAATCACGGTAGTGCTTTGAAACATCTCGGATTATCAGCCGGACAAATCGAAAGGGCCGCGAGCTACAGAAGATTCATCATCTCTCGGCAACCGCACGGATAATTCTAGCTGGCCCCAGATTAAATGAATTGGGTTTAATCTTTAGCATCACAGAAGATGTTTTCATAAGAACTCTCATATTGAGCTTGCATCGTCTGCATTTGCATCCATATCACTAGGGGAAAATAAGCACTATGCCTTAGTTTAAGCATTATTGAATTGAGCCGCTGAGATAGTGTATAGTGAAAACTTAATTTAGCTAAACTATAATAGATTACATCGGCTCTTAAAATGGCCATCGTACCACTACTCACAGTTTCACCTGCGCGTTGAATTTTCCAAGAATTTCAGTGTATCGTATGCCTTTCTTCACAGTTTGCGAGGACGATGACGCGAAATGGAAATTTATACCAGACACACTCACCTTTTATTATTACTGGGAATCTTTAAGCAGCTTTCTAGGAAAACCTGAGAGGCACATTTTGGCACCAGATCCTCAGCATCCTAGGGGTGAATCGTTTGAATTCCTTATTGCTGTGACAAATGTCACATTGACTTTTAGTTCTCAAGACATAGGTTTCTTCACATTCAGGATGGCTTAGTTTGAGCGGGTCTCTACACTGAAACGACACCTTTTCTTTTAAATTCAACTGGTTTTTCTTGAGATTCACACGAATCTAAATCCGGTTTGGGGTTGTAGCCCTAACTAGCTAGTGTAGTCGATCGTTAGCACATGCTGGCTGGGTAATAGCAAGGACACAAATAGTTGTTTCAAGAACTGGGAAACTCAGAGTAGGCTGAGATCCACAGATTGGGATCATTCTTGTTAAAGTTATGGTGTTTAAAGAACAAAATGATGTAAGAAAGAAGGGGGAATGTAAATGATGATTCGTGCCTCGAAAACTAGAGTGTTTTTACTTTATCCGTAAGAAATAGGTAGCAGACTACTAGGAACGCACGATTATGCGCTGACTGCAATGTCTCAATGTTTGGCATTAGTTGTACGTCAGCGGTTGTTTTCCTAAATGTCTTAGGGTCATATTCCGGGAAATTCAAAGGAAGCGTGGTGGGTAGGTAATCCAACTTTATTGTGTAAAAAAAAGCAAAACAAAACAAAACAAACTGTAACCGTCATTAAGACGAAACCCATGTTCCCTCGACCCATAGCCCACTGCACCTCATTCAGTTTAGGGCCTGTTTACATGGAGTGGGGGACCCCGGTCTAGTGGGGTTGGTTTCTTTTGTTTTCACCCTCTGAGGGACTCAAAACAAAAGAAAACTTCCCCACTAGACCGGGGTCCCGCACTCCATGTAAACAGGGTCTTAGATTGCTCTAACAATTGGCCATTGACAACTGGGCATATGAAACCCAAGGCAATGCTTTGCTTGAGTGACCACCAAACAATAGCTTACAAGTGCGTAATTCCCAATGCCCAAGGCAACTTTTATTGAATCAGCTATATAACGATTTTATAGTCTTTGTCCATCAAGAAAAAGCGACACAATTGAAAACTAACTGCGTGCCGGAACAGGTTAGCTCCTTTCTGACGCCCTTCCGCTTTTTCTCAGAAAATAAATACTAGTCGACCTTTGAATTCCCAGAATAACTTGGTCTTTTGAGTAACACAGTTTCTTTTAACTGGTTTGGTGACAATATCCACACTCAATTTCCGATTTCCACACAATGTAATATTCTAAAAAAATCAAAACAATTTTTCCCCCTTTCGGTGTTCATTTTATTAAATCATCTTAACCTTTTTTCCTGATTATCCGCATTGGTATTGTTAGGGGAATTGATTATGGTCAGTTCTAGGACTTAAAAAGTAAAACAAACGACATTACACTTATAATTTTAGTTAACAGAATGAACACCAACCATACTGGGGGCTGACATCTCAATGATGCCTGCCTGAGAAAGAGCGATTACAACAAAATGCAAAATACGAGATGTTGATAAGAGATCTATTGTTTCGTTTCACTGATAAGATTTTTATTCACTTCAAAATACTTTAGTGAACTATCTCTTCATTCAGTAAGAAAAAACAAAAGTGATAACTCCCATCTTACCTTTCGTTGTTTCTGAATGTGCGTTTTTGTTCACGTACTACTTTATTTTTCTTAATATATAGCCTAATGTAATCTTAATATTTCTATTGATGACTTTTGTCGCTATGTCTTGCAGAGTTGACATTTAAAACTGCAACTGCTGACGTGCGTCAGATCCGCCCCGCATACGTAGTAATTTCTTCAACACTTCGTCAGTGCGAGGCAGCGCTTGCTCCAGAGCGGAGAACTGGGCACGACACACTTTACGCCTTTCCAGGATATCCTGCTTTTCTTTCAAGAACTCGACCAAGTCTTCTTGTTCCAAGGCATGCTCAAGGTCATCCACGAGTTGAGTGATGAAAAAATGAAGAATGCAGCGGGGAACTGTATCGCAGACGTTCATTTTGATCCCGTTGAAGCAGCGTACAACGTTCTTTTTTACGTTCTTTATATCTTCGAGCTCCTGAGGAAAAATAATACACCTGTTTAATTCATCCTAACTGACTCTCCTTGGGGACTGAAATCAAAATTTAAGAAAAACACTGACTTTCGTCATGTAAAATATTGTAAAAGAAGCAGAAGTATGTCAAAGAACTCGTTGAGAGGTTTAATTTGAATGGTCACACGACAAAATTTTATCCAAAGTCTTGAAAGTTAGAACCAGATAATATAGCATAATTAATAGCTCCATGCATGTGGTAGTTCTTCTAAATCTGAATGGTCAAACTACAGTTTCTGATCCAAAGATTCAAAAGTTAGACTGAAACAGTTCAAAATCTAGGATATTGCGATGTAAAAATACTTAAAAAGAGGTTTTACTTGAATGGCCACACTTAAGGGTATTGCTCACTCTCAAAAGATGAAATGACTACAAAGCCAGTTCAGATTCCCAGCCTAATTTCCTTGCATGTGTGTTCTGAAACTGCTGAGCTAACCTTATAACTTCCTCGTGAATTTTGGCCTTCAATTTCTTCCATCAGTTCTTTGGGATAGAGCTTTTTCGCCAGGTCCTTCAGGTGGCACGTTGTCCGGGACGTGTTGCAAGGATGACGGAATGAGTCACGAGTCCTGCTATTGTAAGCGAGCGTGGTTTCCCACGAGTTCAGCTCATCCGGAAATGGAACTGGAGCAAACACATCATCAATGCTCTTCTTCTGCATCTCGAGAAACTGCTGAATGAACTGAATGGTTTGCTCTCGTTTTGTGTCGAAAATCTTGCTCACCACCTTGGCCTCGACCGCTTGCTTAAGAGTTGGGAAACTGGACAAACTTTTATTGATTGCATCTTGCACTATTCTGCGTAGAGTTTTCTCTACGTTGTTTACCAGATGGGTGGATATGGGAATTAGTTGATCCACTGGACTTTGGACTAGTTCATCAATAGTCATGGAAGTTGTTCCTAGTGTGAACACAAGGAGGTAAGTGTCATTTAAAGGTGAATGAGGTCTATAAAAGGTCTATAAAAGTGGTAGAGGGTATGGATAGCACTTTGTAAGCCAGCCAGTCCTTTTTATTTCAGATCTTAAGGCTAAGAAAAATACTTCAAATGCAGGGTTGTTACCTTTACTGTACATAAAGCCGTTTAATAACGTACTGTTAATTCATTTATTGTTGAGAACAATTACTTAGAAAGTTATAAGCGTTTGAAAACTGAAACTGGTGTTACGAGGTTACTGTTGGCGCCATTTGCTAACATAATCACCCGGTTGTCTCAAGAGACCATTCATGCTTATTGCCCCTCTATATTCTTTGGGTCCAAACCACCATCTATATATCTGTCGGTGATTGGTATAGGAGATTTCTTTTATTTCCTTCTTTTGAAACTTCTGAGCCATAACAACGACAAGAGCAAATAGTCAGTTCGTGGGTCGCGTCTATCAGCGGTATCGATCTTTAATTTCGGAGTGTCTTTCCGGAAGTTTACGCTAATACCTGGGAATCCTGTGCTACTCGCAACTGGCACAGTACTCCTTCCTTGGTACGACTCATAAAGTAGTTTTTGCAGCAGCTGGCTGTTTTCACTGCTGTCACCAAGAGGAGCTGCCACGCCCTCGAGTTTCCTTTGTTGTTTTCGTATCTCATCATCATTTCGCTTCACCAGGGGATCTACCTAGATTTGAAAAAAGGTTTCTTGCAAAAAACAATAATATAACTTTTCTTTCGAACCTTAGGGCAGCTAGTTAAACGAAACTCCTGACACCGCCCTTTCATTTGTCCTTGCTATAAATGGCGACAAAATTAGTTAAGACACTTCGGCCAAAACGACATATCAGAGCAGAAGTTTTAATCTTTCTAATCAAAAACATAAACACCTTTCAGGAGTACCTCTTCCCCTTGTCAATGTTGTACCGCTGATCATGAGGTTTGTGGGCAGCACCAGACGACCCAACAACACCCAAAAAATAAATAATTAATCAATAATTAAAAAATTAATTGGCACTACCCTTTCGCCTACCTTGTATACAGTGTCATGAAATTTGTTGAACAATGTTCGCACTTGCTCTCCTCCTCCAATGTCAGACGTGTTGTTAAAGAGAAGCGTCTTCAGCTGAGTAATGAGATTTTGCTTGAGTTTCATTACAAGCGCTCCTTTGCCTTCGCTCGTCTCAGGTACTTCGCTATGGGCCAAAAGTTTGAGTTCTGATTCCACCTAGATATGGCAACGAGATGTTTTATTATCGCGTGTATTGTGCACAGGTGTATGGCTTACGTGAAAAGACAGCACAGCTGAAAAGCAACGACCCTGCGGACAAAGCATAAAAGTTCCATACACACGATATCTGGGGTTCAACGGGTGACGTAATTTGATTTTTGAGCTACTCGAAAATGGCTTATATGTGTCGCTAAGACTGTTGGGTAAAGTTAGGCCCCTTTCCGTGTAGACGGGCCACCCTCTCATCAGCGGCCGACTCAACTTTAGCGAGCGTTTATAAGAAAAAAATTGATCCCTTTGACCGAGTCAACATTTCTAGCACATGCGCTGATTGATTAAAACAACGCTGGCGCATGCTCTGATTGTAAACACTTTGCCAGCTCGCTTTGCCACGTTTTCAGGAGGAAATTCATGAAGAGCTGGCTCGCCAAGGGTGGCTCGGTTAGGCGGGTGATCCTTCTACCAGGGGCATCCTTCCTTCATTTTAACAGGAAAACGTCACTGTTTTCATCTCCTACCTTTGCCTTTCGTTCCCTCATTTCACGCACTAAGACTGGAATTTCAGTGATCATTTTTTGGGCCAGAAGTGAGATCATGGTATCCATGAGCCGGTCAATTCCACACAGTTTAAGAATGCTTTTGTATTGAGGATGACGCGCGAACCACTCCTTTTCCTTGACACGGGTCATCTCTGCGTCCCAGTCCTTTTCGTTTGCGTCGGTTCCATCTTTTCCTGTTTGTTGGCAGAATGAGTGGAGAATAGCCTTAGTTCTCTCCTCTTTCATAATTAAAACTCTTAAAAAACAAATAATTTGTAAGAGACAAAAAAATATCCTAATTATTCGGAATTTTAAAAAGGATTTTGATTGAATCAAGAAAAAAGACGTTGTGTACCACCGTCCAACACCAGGAGCCCGGGCTCCTGCTAATTTCCCTTTCCTTTTGAAATGTTCTCAGCCATAATAATCGCTGTAAACGATGTAGCCTGAGTATCAGAGCCACCTTTGGGGTTAAGGGAGAGGTGATTCTCCCCTCTTCGCATGTCTATTCCTATTCCCTCAGAAGCACCTGATAATCAGACTGAAAACATTACGAAAAAAGGTGATGTGCGAAGCCCATAAGCTGGAGCGAGCTACTCCTATACCAGGTCTATGTCACAGCATGTTTTATGGACCAGTTTATTTTTAGGTACATTTAAAAGAGCTTATTCTCGCGAAAATGGAAGCTTTGCTTCGCCCAAGTGTGCATACAAATCACAACAAACCAAAGAGGAAAACTAAACGTCATTAAAAGTTCGTTAGTACCTCTTTTAGCTCTTTATAGTTTCTGACTGGTTTGTGGGACTTAAAAGATATTCTAAATTCGTTCCAAAATATTTCAAAAAATAAACTGATTGGTGAAAACACCATAACACGAGTAGATGAAAGTTGCTCGCTGCAGGTTTTGAGCTCCTGGTGATATCCAAAGAAGATTAAAACAACAACTCCCATTGTACCTCTTAATACAATGAAGCGACCGTCCTCCAGGGTGAAACTTGACTTGTTTAATGCTACTTTTACGCCCATGTCATCTGATTCTCTCAGCCTGTCTGGTTTAGTCAGTACACATATGGTCCGCTGCCTGAAATCTTTAGCCTTTCGCATGACCAGGTTAATAGCACTGTCTCCCGTGGGGTCCCCTACTTCGGAAACTATAACGATAATGCTCTTTGTGTTCTTCTCAATGTAGTCTAACACAAGAGATTGGGTTGCCTGGTTCATCCGAGGATCGTCGTTGGCGAAGTGAGCGCCGGGAAGATCGACTAAAGTCAAGGTAGTGAGTTTGGGACCTGAGGCAGAGGACAAGAAGAGGGGTGAGTCACCCTCGTCTCAAGTCAATTCGCGTCATGTGAGTGAATGCAGGATGCTTGGAACTGCGCGAGGTGTTCCAGACAGATTTCCTGACAGGCTTGGCGGGTTGGCTAGACTGTTCCAGCCGTTCAGATAGTGGAGCGTGGTGCGAAGTTGGAGAGAGAGAAAAATAAGGACGAAGAGAGGGAGAGGAAGAGGAAAGAGGAGGTAGCGCCACTCCCATATTTTCTAAGGGAAACGTTCTGAAGACAAGCTTGCTCGTTAAAGCACACATATTTGTCAGTCCCTTGGCCCTTGTATCGTGATTGCAAAGTGCCTGAGACTTTTTTTTCATCCCCTGATAAGGGTTGGTTTTGTCTAACTAAAACAATAAGCAAGAAAACAATTATTTTTTCAAGCTGTTCAGTCAGCTTGCATTCTTAGCACTGGAAAAACGTGAAATTTTGTCCGCGGAAAGTGTGCTAAATCAACGGAGGGAGACAACTAGGGACTTATCATGGAACGTGAATTAAGGAGATCTGTGGTTCACCGGATTTCAAGTAAACGTAGCCAACTTTCGATTATCGAAGAGAATTTGCTTAGTCCCGATACAGGGTCTTCCCATTCCTGTTCGGTCAAAGAATTTCCGAGACGAACTGCTGCACCACTAGAATCGAAAGCTATAGACCGCGCGGTATATTGAGGCCTTAAGGGACTAGATATACAGCGATTTCGAAAAAGATTGTCGGAAAAAGTGCACGCGTCAATCCCGAAAGGTATTGTGGGTGGTTTTGAGTTCACTGTTCTTCAAAGAAATCTGAAGGAATGGCACGAGAGGCCATGGACGTGTGTTTGCGAGTGCTAAAGGAAAGCAACAAAAGTAGGCTCGACAGCTACAATGTCAGGAACAGTGTATTGATCATGTCCCATATTACCTTTCGGGTTTGTCGCGTGCACATTTTTTTCGACAACCTTTCTCGAAACAGCTGTATACGAAGAGTATCATACCTTGAAGGGTCACATTAACTGGAGTCTTGGATATAGGAGTTCCTTCTTCTTTGGGAAGATGACCAGCAACTTGTTTAAGGAAATCCTCCACTTGATCATCCGTGGGGTTTTCTACCTCTCCTCCAATACCCTGGCACGTATCACATCGCACTTCCACGATTGTCTTGGGACCATTTCGGAGATTCAGTATGATTGGGTATGTAGTCCGCGCTTGAAGAGTGTTGGCTGTTTCGTTTCGTCGCATGGGCAGAAGATATCGCCCGATCAGACGGTTGATAAGCGTTGTCTTTGCCATGTTTTGTCGACCGACCATGACTAAATGTGGAATATCAAATGACTTTCGAAGGGTGTCGTTGCTTATCATGGATTGAATAAAATCCAATACACTACCGAACTCACTGCTTCTGCCATATTTGGAAACTGGTGACTCAATCTCGCTTGACATATCAAAATTAAACAGTGCTCTGGAAAATAAATAAACACAGTTGCAGGTTATAAGGCGATCTGTACACGAAGTTTTGATGAATGTGAGTGAGCAGTTAATAGTTTGCTTAGAGATGTTTAACAATAAACAGATACAGCAAAATGTAGGAGCCATTTCTCTCTGGCCAGTAGTGTTGTTTATAGTATTATACTGTTTATTCCACTTATAATTGTAATAGCGGAGCTCCGAACGAAAAACGGCTTAAAAGAGGAAGCCAGGAAAAAAGTGGCAGAATCCGGTAAGGCAAGGTACAGGAGGCAGCATATTTGGACTCCGCTATTGTCCCCTACTTATTAGATGCTGTTAAAGGCTCCATAAGTGCATTTTTGTCCGTAATATACGACTTAGAAAAGCTACAATCAAACAGAGATAGTCCACCGTTTTCTCCACGGCTTAGGTCTTCCTATTATCACCTAGGGTCTTTCAGTGATCGAACGACTTAAGCCGACTTTATCACGATTGAGTGCTATCTGAAAAAAATGTCATTAGCGCCCATATATATCGAGAGCTAATACTACTACTTTACTACTATCGAAACCTGCTACAAGCGGACATCTGCATATGCTAAAGTACCATTGAGGATCATCCCTGGAGGAATGGTACTTGTACTCAACAAAGTTTTGTAGGGGAGGCTCCGCCCCGAGGTCCAACCCTTACCATTTTATAAACCTTTTTTGACAGAAAAAGGTACCCCTTTCGTATACCTTCTATTGACAAATGGTACCCCTTCATGTGCATACCTAGTAGAAATATCTATTCCTTTTAACTAGTGCTGTAAATGTGTTTTCTTTAGAATACGATTAAACTAAAAACCTGTACGTTTTCTAGACGTTTTCACAGCAATGAAATGCATCTGTTCAGAAGCCATTTGGGATGTTTTGCCGACCGAAACGACAGATTTCCCTATACTTTCATATACTTCAAGTAGTAAAACGCCTACCCTTTCATATATCTGAAGCCTGAAACAGGTACCCCTTTTGGGTGAAGCGTTCCCCTATGGGTCATTTTTTAGGGAGTACCCCCCGGGGGGCAATAAGTTGACACAAAATAATTCTTAAAGGTCTGGGCTCGGCGAAGAGTTATCTATTTCACTTAGAGGAACTCTCCCGATAATCTAATCTGTTATTTTTTTGAAATTTAACCTTGAACTTTTTTCTGGCCTGTTTCCAACCTGGGGCTTTGTTTGGATACAGTTGGAAAAGCGTTAATTACCGCGTGACCTATTTACCTTGACTTACGGGAACCAGTTTTTTGGAGGAATGGATCATTATTTCTTTGTGAAATTTGGCAAATACACAAAAAGCATGTTAATGAACAGATCTGTGTTTGACTAAAGGTTAGAATTGCCGTACAGCTGAGTTATTGATGTCAAAATATGGGTCAAATTACAAAATGGCAAATTGTGCCCTAGAGGCTGGATTAATTGGAGCTGTGTCGTAGTCAAACACAGAATTATTCTATCTTACGTCCTTATTTGTGTTACATTTCTTTTTTAACAATAACTCTAAGGATTCTTCTGAAATTTTGATTTTTCTCTTTCCGTGTCACCCTAGGGGGTAATTAAATTAACAGCTTTTGGGTGACATAACATAGTTTATTTTGATATATTCTACTTCCTCAAGAACTGAGGAATACTGTCAATGTAGTGACATATAGTTATTATCCATAAAACAACCACTAAAAATGATGCAAAAATGTGCAAAATTTGCCTGTGCAGATACCTTAAGGCTAATCGGCTTTCGTGACTTGGCCTAGACATGCCGATATTATAATCTGACCGAATTGTAATTGATTCCATTAAAATTTATTCGGTATATAGTACTATCAGGATAGCACCACAGATACTATAAAATATCATAATTTGATAACGACAAATGGCTGCCTGAATATTTCCTCATGGCAATATGCATCAGCCGGGCGGAAATGGAGCAGGTTATCACCCAAGTAATTATAAAACTACCTAACTAACGGGATTGATAGATCGAAGAAATAAAATATACTTCTAGTAAACAGTCAACTTGTTTTCGTGAACGAACACATCGACGGATTATTAACGGCACAAAGCGAAAGGGCCGCAATTTACACTTTCAATCTCTCGGCAACCGCTCTTGATCAATGATTCTCGCTGGCCCCACTGGGATTAACTGCCTTAGCTTTAGTGTCGGAACTGCTGTAGTATCACAGAAGCGTGATGTATGCTAGGATTTTTCGTGTTGAGTTTGCATCACCTGCAATTGTGTCACCAGGGCAAAATAAACACTAAATATGCTGTTATTAGTAAGCAATATTGACGTGAGCCGCTGAAATTGTGTACAATGCAGTTTATAATTTAGCTAACTACAGATCACAGTGCACCGTACTACTCACTACTCACTACTCACAATTTCACCTGCTCGCTGAATTTTCCAAGAATTTGTATCGTATGCCTTTCTTCGCAGTTTGCGCGGAAGACGAATTAAAATGGAAATTTAAACCTGACACACTTTTGTTTACTGAGAATCTTTTTGCAGCTTTCTTGGAAAACCCAGGAGACACTTGTTGGTACCAGGTCCTTATCAGCCAAGGTATCGTTGTGTCGCATGTTCAGTTTTGAATTGTCTGAGCAAAGCTAAAATGACTTTTACGTAACAAGACGTAAGTTGTTATTCAAAATGGCTTAGCCATATATGTAACGGTAGCGTTTCTTTTAAATCAACCGGTTTTTCGGCGTTAAAAAATTCCTTTGCAGCAAACCAAACTAATTATAGATTGCGTTTTGAGCAATCTATGGTTCTAGATTTACATGAATCGAAACCCGTTTGTCAGGTTGATTTTTTTTTTTCTTTTGGCGAACTAGCTAGTGTAGTAGATCGATAGCACACGGTTGTCATAGCAGGAACACAAAAGTTCCTTGCAGAAGGAATTCAGTGGGGGATGAGATCCACAAAATGGGTAGTTTTTTTTTCGAACTTCAGTTGATGGTATGGTGTTTCTGAAATGATATAACGAAGAAATGGGAATGGAAGCGAGAATTAAGAAATAAAAGATCGGTGCACCTTAGAAACATAAAATTTAAATGACGATGCAATCCATTTAATTATTCATCCATTTAGCACTTTCAGACTGTGCTTAACCGAGGCTATCATGTACACGAAGTCCTGAAATTTTGGGTCTGTGAGAGAAATCCTACGTTCGCGTGATGAGCAGCCTTTATGGATTTTGAAATATAAATTATTTAAGGTAAGTAAAAGCTATTAGATAAAAGGTGCGACTATTTTAAAATGATCCGTCTTTAGCATTACTTAAAGCTGCAGCTGTTCTTTTAATGATCTGAAATATATCTATATATAGTCCGAATTTCTCTCGGATCATGGTTTTGCCACCATTGAATAAAAAATAATTCGTATATCAATATATAAACGTTTTAGAAGGAAGCGACTTAATTGAAAACTAACTGCATGAAACAGTTCAGCTGTTTCTAACGCCCTTCCGTTTTTTCTCGGAAACACGGGGTTGACCTTTTAATGCCCAGAATAACCTAACTGCAACCTAGGACGCCAGACCTTAAAACGATTAAGTGAAGTAAAAGCTTTATGCCTTAACTTTTCTTTCTTAAACATAACACACATGCGTGGGCCTGAATCATTATTTAACTTTGATTAACTGGATAGTCCACCCCACAACCCAGGACATTTAGGATTAACTGCAATTCAGTTAGTGCCATTTTAAATGCACGGCGGGTTTTGAAGCCACTTGAACGGTTCTTGAATCTTATTTATGTGGGATCATTATCTGTAGCTGGGCAAAGTCCCATATGAAAAAACATTTATTTCAAGCGCCCTATATAACTCCGCTTATTGCTTAAGTTATCGATAAAGATCCAACGAGTTATCTGTTACCTTATTGAGGCATAGACAAGTACTTTTTGATTAAGTAACACTTAAATAAATAACAGCCTTCTATAAACACTGACACTCTCAGTTTCCTAGTTAATTTTGCGGCATACGTATCTCAGGGTTCAATGAGAAGCCAGCTTTTGTCAGCTGCTAAAAGTATAATGAAACCAACGCTGAGACTGCCCCAAGTGTTAGATTATATCGAATGTGCTGGTTTTTTCTCTACTTCTCAAAAGTGAAATACCATAGTATCAGGCGGCAGCAATCCGCTGAACTGAAGACCTTTTCCACCGAACAGGCGTCTGCGGTATCAGTCATGCAGGCTCTTACATCAGGCCCATCATGGAAGAGTAATTCTCCACTCCACTATCAGTAAAGGGAATGGGTACAAGCTTTTTTGGCCCGCTTTTGGCGCAACTAAACTTGATTGGTCGATGGTATTCAAGGCAACCATTAACCAATCACAGGTACATGTAACGCTTGTTCACGCGAACGATCCCAAAAACCATTGCGCTGAAAGCTTGTACCCATTCTTCTTTCAGTTTGTGGAGCCGGGGCAATAACAATTACGATACACAGGGCAGAACACCGTTACACCTTTTTTTTACTCTGACAACTCTGGTAGTGGTGTTTAAGAGGAAAACTGTACAGTATAAAAATAAGATCTACGCCAACTTTGATCGTGAAATTCGAACTTTATTTTTTTAAGAAGACATTTCAGGCTAACTGAAAAGAGACTAAATATGTTAAAAATTGTGTAAATGGGTTTTTAAATCACTAGAAAACGTCTCTTAAAATGCATTTATAAAGAAAAAGTGAAGAGCAATATTCGGCTTATTGCTTAGCTTCCCTTTTTCATGCGGTTAATTACGGCTATCACGATAGCGTGCTAGTGGTGAACTTGCACTAAAATCCACTGAAACAAAATAAGCTTAAGTAGTTTAAAATATCAGTGACTTCTGTCAGGCTGCTGTCTATCTGTATTTGGAGGTCATGCAAATCATGGCAACAAGCTACTTCAGTTTATCCGTTATCTAATTGCAGAACAAAGTCGTTAAGGAAACGCCATGAGAGCTATTCTGAGCTGAAAAAATAGAGAAGAATTTAGATAGATACCAGAGTGCTGAAAAGGTCTAGGAACTTATTTTTTTATCTACAGACGTGATCATGTGACCTTGTTGTTGTCTTCATTGTTCGTGAGTTGGTCAACGTACGAATATTAACGCAAAGACTGTGATAATCGGATCTCACTGAGACTAGCCAGTCCTATCAACACTCATATACAGTGGAACCTCGATGAGGAAGGGCCAAAGGACTAGCAAAATATGTTCGATTTAACGAGGTTTTATTAATATCAAATCGAGGTTCTTTTCCATAAATTTTAGTTTTACTTGGGTAAAGGAAATCGTTCGTTATACCGAGGACTTCATTATAAAGAGGTTCCACTGTAAATACAATCCTCTTCCTCTCTATACCGTCTTTGTATATTCCTTGTTCTCAGATCATGTTCTTTACAATTCAACGTTCAATTGCAAATCTCTATAGTTTAAGCTATCCCTGGACATTTGAGTAGTAAAAGCATATATTACTGATGGGTCTACAGCCCATAACCAAGGAATGTGGTATTGGACATGTGCGGTGTTATATTTACATCTATGGCTTCTACAGATTGACTGGACCAAGAGAGGATATCCTTTCTTGACGTCAAATGCAATTATTAAAAAAAAAGTATTTGTTATAATAATAATAGAGTTTACAATAATCAGAATAACGTATCGCAATGAAGACTAAAACGGTGTTAAGTTGTTTGACTGAAAGGGGCCCACCGCTAGTTTCCTCCGCCTTAAGCATTCAAATCGCCCCATGTATAAGGGAATTCAAGACAGTCTTGGATTCTGGATTCCAGTCTTTGTAAGTCTGTGGAACTTGGATTCTGGATTTCAATCGTTATATGTGGGATCCTGAATTCACTGGCCTGTATTTCGGATTCCACAAGTAAAAATTGCTCGGATTCCGGAATCCGGATTTCCTTACATGACGCGAATTCAAAGCTTCTCCACCAGTCTTTGAAGACTTTTCAATGGAAACTTAGGCGAGTATGTATAAAAATTGGTTAATATAAATATATTTATATTTTACCAAAATAATGAACTTCTTTTTTGAGGGAAATTACGTAGAGAAATGACGTTGACAGTATCATCAGTTTCATCTACGAAGAACCGGCTTTTCAAAAATATTAAAGCTTTCAAAACGTTTTGTAAATTTTTAGTAAAGTGGTAATACAGTCGAACCTGTATATGACTGCCACCCTCGGGACTTGAGGAACTGGCCGCTTAATACAGAATCACTAAAAATACTCACTGGGCGTGGTCTAATGTCAACTTTAGTGGCGTATCATACAAAAACACTTTATGCAAGGAAACAATAGGACAATCAACACTCGTTTAAACAAAGTTCAGTGCCAACTTGTAACCTAACGGTATAATATAAGTAACATTGTGTAAAAGTACTGTGCAATAAATCTGATGACATCTGAAAAGGGCTAACGATACTAAATGGCCGATTATCAGCTTATGGTAGCTTTGTATATGTTCAGTTTCTTTATAGCGATGATATATCGCATTTTAAACACAATAAAATACCGGGGGGGGTACTTTTGGAATTTTTGGGGGAAGATGTGCCGCTGGAACCCTGGAACCCTCAACCTATAACAGAGCTAGTTCAGCTGAATTTTGCTACCCAATACTAGAGTAAACTATGCTACAGTAACTGTTTCCCCAGTCTAGGTAAAATCTTCAACCAACTGATCAATTTAATTTCCTGAAAAATGATACCCTATTCTAGACCCAAACGCTCTGATTTATATACCCTATCCTAGAGTAAACTGCTTGAAAACCATACCCTTCACGGCGGCACATACCTATATAGCCCATATATGGCAGTGCCCCCCCCCCCGGGATAACATACCGCATAATGTGACATATCAGGCTTAGTTTCCGTTCAAGGGTGGCCACTTAAGACAGGTAAAAATAACAAAGAAAGACAAACAGAGGACTGCTAAAGGGTGGCCGCCTAACAGGTAACAAATAAAGCGTTTGTATGAACGAAAAATCGGGACTTAGAAGACTGGCCGCTTAATAGAAGGTGGCCGCTTAATACAAGGCGGTTATATACAGGTTCGGCTGTATATTAAACTTTGAACAGTGAAAGTAACAACCTGAAAGTAAGAGCCATAAGAAAACCATAGAATCGCTTTGTGGCATGCAAAATGGCTGATGAAAAATCAAAAGTAAAATTACGCGTTCTTTTCACAGCGTTGTATCAAGAGCATTTGGTTATTATTTTTTTTTACTTAAACGTCTGTCTGTTGTACTCTTCATGGTTTTGTTGCCCCGATAAAGATCAATAAATGTTGAGTTTAAAACTCGAGCATTAACATAACAATGAACTTAACTCTGGAGTATTTTAGATGGAAGCTACGGAGAGCATTTATTGTAAAAGCACGAAGTTATAAAAAGGCAAGCTGTACAATTTTACTACTCTACATCTTAGTAGTTACAAGAAAGTAATGAAACGTCTTGCTGATAAGCGGTTCACACAAAAAATAGCAATTTGATACAGGCGAGATTCGCAAACGTATTTGCTATTTCCATCAAATAAATGCACTTGTCATATGACTAAATAAATACGACTAAATAATGGATAATTGACAAATGTGGAACTTAGGAGAGGTCAGATATATAGTCTAAAAAACCGAAATGCCGAAATGCCGAAATGCCGAAAGTATGGAAAACTTCTCAGAAAGATCTCGGGCTTAACTGAAACTTTGAA